TGATGCTTTTTTTTCCCCCCCCCCCCCCCCCCCCCCAAAAGAAAAAAAAAAAAGGAGTATATAAATGAAGCTGCAGTTCTGCACGTTGAATTTGTCTAAATGTCTCCTATCATCCTACTAAGATCGTTGCATTTGGGCCTGAAATTCTTTTGAGCCTTACGTGCAATGTGGGGACTTTTATTAATTGGAAAGAGAAATGTATTGATTATTGAATAGGAGGCCATCTCCGATTGTTGTAGGGTAGAGTAGAGTCAGTGTATTTATTGGGCCCCTAATCTTATGCAAAGGTAGACATTGCCCTGCTCTTGCCTTTCTAAGCTGGTTACTACCTCATCCAATCATCTTCCTTCCTTAGCCATCAAAATTGACTTTTTACCTCAAGATATCAATTTTGGAGGTCCATTTCACAATGACTGAACTTATGTTATTGGCACTCTTTTCCTTTTCCTCAATTTCTAATTTGCGTCCCTAGTCGGTGGGCTACAATCTGTATCCACAAAATCACATTTAATGGCTCCACCCCCTCTTGTTTGTTTTCTTTTCTTTTTGGGTTTTGACTATCCAAGATCTCAAGTCTCAAGCAAGTGTTAAAAAGTTTAGAACAATTGAACCAGACTAAGAACAAGTCTAGAGCATAATTGATTCAAAAGTAATAGTCCCAAGAAAGAGATAAATTGTTGCAATGATTTTCCTGTCGAAGGAGTGAGACACTCTTTGAAATCCAAAGATTATTTCATTGGTTGGTCATTTGTAATTTGCGTCCCTATCGGTGGGCTACAAGCTGTATCCACAAATTCACATTTAATGGTCCCACTCCTTCCTGTTTGTTTCCTTTTCTTTCTGGGTTTTGACTGTCCAAGCTCTCAAATCTCAAGTGTTAAAAGTTTCGACAAATTGAATTACGCTAAGAACAAGTCTAAGAGCATAATAGTTCCTTAAGCAATAGTCCCAAGAAGGAGATTAATTGTTGCAATGATTTCTCCTGTCGAAGGATTGAGATACTCTTTGAACTGCACAGATGTCTATTTCTCTGATTGTTTTAGCCCATCTCATTTGCCGTAATGAAATGTTCAGGAATTTGACCAGGTGGCTAATAGAATTTACTTGTATTTAAGATCTTTGTTTACAAATTTTATTAGTCTAAGTAGTTTTGGGTTACCATAATATTTATGTTTCAGTGGTTGGAATTATCCATTTCGGTTGGTAAGTTGAATTTTCCCTACATGGAGATGGACCACATGATTTCATGTAAAAATGACACTATCTGTAATTGCTGTGCTGCATATGTTGCAAAACATCTATGATTCTATGTATCTAGCATTATTGCTTTCTTTTTACTTGTCTTTTCTGCGTGCCTTAACTGCAAGATTGTTTTTCTAAAACCTTCCTTGCTTTTGGCGATTCCTATTTGGAAGGGAACCCCTTATTTCAAAGCATACAAAACATTAAAAATAAAAAATAAAACCTCAAATCATGTATTTTGGTATGGGAGTTGTAATAGGTAAGCTTGATATTGAAATGAAATTCCCCAAAAAGGACACAGGGATTCCCACGGCTTGTCTGTCTGCACATACTAGTCCTTATCCAAATGCACTTAAGATGGTCGTACAAAAGGGGGCCCATTTCGACCCACCATCCCAATTCTTGTTATGTTTTTTTTTTTTTTTTTTTTTTAATTTTTGGCTTTCAAGAAATATACCACCTAATCTACCCTGTCGTTAGGTGCTTCCTGCTTTCTTACTTACGATTATTTTCATAAATGTGCTAATAAGTATATTTTCATAAATGTCCTTATAAGAAGGTACCTTATTTTAAAATGCCTCTTAATTTTTTAAAATAGTTTAAAATGCTTCTTAATATATACAAAATAGACCAAAATACCCTCTTCATGCAAGTTCGTTTATAAATGTAACAGATTTACTGTCGTGGCAAGCATTAAAAATTAGTTAAACCTATTAAATTGTAATTAAATACATAAAATGGTCAAATACTTAAAAGAATAATAAAGAACAAATAAAAACTTTATTTCAAAAAAATAAAAACTATAAAAAAATAATAATTTTTAGAAAAATCTGAAACGGAAAGAAAAAACCCCTAACCTTCTCATCCCAACAATTTCTTCATTGGGTTCGTTGAAATTTTTTTTCACTCAACTTCCTTTCATTCTTCTTCATCAATTTCGTTATAGCTTGAATGTTGCTCTTTTTTTTTTTCTTTTTTTTTTCTACATGAATACACTGGTCTGGATGGAGGAATAAGAGGATGTTCCCTGTTTGTGCGAGAGAGAGCAAGTTTGGGTTTTTATTTACTAGAACACAAGATGGAGACAGGATTCATCCTCTTAAGTAATGCGATATATGATGGGCTATATATATGTATGTATATCTATATGCGTGTGTGTTTTGGACTATACAGATCGAACTGTTGTGGTTGTTTTTTTGTTTTTGATCGGAACGGTTGCTCGTGAGGGAGGCGCTGGGCTTGTGAGGCGGCTTGGCTAGGGTCGCGAAGAAGGGGGCGGGCCCGTGACGCTGCTAGGCTGGGTTCGCGAGGGCGGCGGCGTGATTGTGAGGCGATGCGTGTGGTTCGTTGTCTCTTGCTATTATTCGAGGGTCACAACGCTGCGGGGGGTGGCGCAAGCCCAGCGACGACGGCCTCTGGGTACTCACCCCCTCCAGCGCGACACGCTCGTGAGCCCACTCGCCTCACAATGGAGCATACATCATCGGGAGAAGAATATGTTTTTCAGAATTTTCTTCAGATATGTGGTGTTCATCTTATCTGTGTTTTTTTTTTCTTTCTAACTTTTGTTTTGTTTGTTCTTTTATTAGTTTTTAAATTTTATTTGATTTTGTGTGATTTTGTATTAAAGCTAATTGGTTTTTTTATTAATAATTAGAGTTTATATATATATATATATTAAAAATAACTTTATAAAGCTTTAATGACAAGCCATTGTCATCAAATCTTATAATGAAAGGATATTTTAATCTATTTTGTATATATCAAAAAGTATTTTAAACTATTTTAAAAAATTAAATAGCATATTAAAATATGATACATAGAGAATATTTATGAAAATAATCTTTCCTACTTTAAATGGTGTTTTTCCCTTTTATATTTTTGTTGGTTTTGTACTTTTATGCTTCTTTTTGTGTTTTTATTATCCTTCGCACTTTAAATGATGTTTTTCCCTTTCATATATTTGTTGGTTTTGTACTTTTATGCTTCTTTTTGTGTTTTTATTTATATGCTACTTCTCTTTGTTTTTAGCTCCTTCCCCGCATGCGACGTTAATGTGTAATACTAATCTTTTTTTAAAAAAAAAATTTTTCTTTTCTTGAGCAAATTTTCCCAACATTATTGTTCAGTTTGACCAAAATGCCAGCTAGTAGCTGTTTATATTACACTTCACTTTCTTTAGTCCACTTAACAGCAAATTGTTTTGGCCAATCAAAGATCACAAAGTTTCTGGAAAGACTTTGCACTAACCCGATATCAAAATGAGGAAAAGTAGATTTTTTGATTCTGGGTTTGGCTAGAAATCGTTCAACTCTTTGAGGTACCTAAATAAAACATTTTCACGTTCAGGGTTGTTTTTATTCGGATTTCATTGAGCTTAACTAATTTGATTGAACCTGGCTTATTTCTTGATTAGTTTGAGGAAAGTCAATCAAAAGAACACAGATACTAATTGAAGGAATATATTTGTCGCAGTCAGGTTTGTAACAGGATGCAAAGAACAGGATATTTTGGAAATTGTCAGAGACATTCTTGGGCATATGTTTTATCCTTGGGATTGGAAGTAACTACGGTACAAGTCATTCCCATGAAATTCGTTTTCATTGAAAGTTGGAATGTTTTTATAAAGTGGGACCTGATAACAAAACCTTTTAACCATCTAAATCTGATTTAATTATCGTAGAGTAATTGAAAAACATACTTTCGGGTACATCCTAATAAATCTGTCCTTTGTGATAAGATACGGAATGCGTTTTAGTACAGAGATCTCCTGGCAAGGCACATTAAATAGGATCAACTGCTTTACCGCTTCCTTATGTTGTGATCCTTCGTCCAATGAAACTGTGATGTAGTAAAGGATTCGAGGTTTGTCTTTTCTTTCAGGCCTGAAAACTTGTTAAGATCGGTGTTGGGGCCAATTCACCACAGCCCAGGTAAGCACTTTGCTTTGACATGTGTCACCTGTGGGCTCTACCACACGGCTGTTCGATTTTTTTTTTCTTTTTTCTTTTTTCGCGGGAACAGGGCTGTTTGATTTTATTAAAAGAAAAAAGAGTCTTTTTTTGCCATCTTTCTTGTGGGTGTCGGTTCTAGCACAAGGAACAGGTGCCCAAAAGGCCTTTTTTTTTCCCTTTTTTTTTTCAAAGTTTCGTGGCAAGTATGCCATGGGCACAGGTTCCTTCTGCTTTGTTTTTTTATTATTTTTCTTTGGGAGTTCTGATTCAAAAATTGTGTTTGATTGGTGATTGCAAGAAGTACTTGAAAAATTATTCTAAGTTTGGATTCAGTAATTCTAGATTTGTATATCAATTTTGTAACAAATATATGAAAATGATCTTTGAACATAAAAATGTGTCTTGTTGTGAAAGCGAAGAAACATATTTGATGCCATTTTCAATTTTTAGAGCAAAAATTTTACGAAAATCCAAGATTTGGAAGGTAGTTTGCCAAATATTCTTTCTTTGAGGCTCGTATTTCCACCGTGTATTTGTTCCTTCTCCCTAACCTTTCGTTTTGGAAATCGTATATTCAGTAAATAGCAGTATAGCACTTGTAAGCTATCGGCTTTTGATCCATATATGCAGCTTTGTACTTCTATGAATTTCCTCATACTTGTGAAATCTGTTCCACAACCCTTTTTGTATTTAAGCATGAATTTAGATCGTGGTCAAAGATTCGAAGTCCCTAAATATTTTCCCTGCAAATTTGGACCGTCACATTTGTATATTTAAGGTCAAGTTTGAGGGCTGAGAAAAAGACCAAACACGAGATTGGATATGGCGTATATATGGTTGGCGGTACTTGCCATCAGATGTGAGAAGCGTTTTGTTGGGTGTGTCTCAAGTCTCCTAAAACATGTTTTATTTTAGAGATAAAATCATTTTAATACCCAAATATATTCTAAGTATCTCGTGTATTTTATAATATTAAAATGGTATTTTAATTTTTAAAAATATTTTCTCGGTACTCAAACTAATTTTTGAGACACATAATGTCTAAATTATTTTTTTTATCAATTACATAGAAATTAATATTTTTTCATATTTTAAAAAATATGAATATTTAAAATATTTAAAAGAAAATAACAAAATAAAAAAAGTTGATTTTTTTCCTAGATTTATTATTTTTTATTAATTAAATAAAAGAGTACTAAAGTTATTTTATATCTTAAAAATTAGCTTTAATGTATTAAAAAGATATTTAAAAAAAACGTTGAGGTACCATTTTAATATTATTAAAAAGATAAGGTATTAAGAGTATATTTTGCTATAATACTTGATACTAAAATGATTTTATCCTTTTATTTTATGAAGATTCTATGGTACGCATGACATACTGATATGATAGTTTTTTTAACCGTTAAATTTGTTTATTTTTTAATTTTTACGTAATTTTATACAGATTCGACAGATAGAAAAATTAAATTATCGGTATGTTGGCATACCGAAAAAGATTTTTTTATTTTATATTCTTCTAAAAATAATAACGATATGCACAACACCAACTCAGTTTTAGCCAAAAAAAAAAAAAAGTATATATTTATATATATATATATATATATTTTGTTTTCTTCCTTTACAAGAACATAGCTTGTTCTTTATCCTTCAGATAATGAGTATAATTAACAAAGATTATCATGCAAAAGATTATAAAAAGCATTAATATTGCCGTCGTCATTGTTGAATTTCGTCTAATGTTGACGCACCGTTCAACTCTGATAAGTGATAACTTTATAGTGAATAGAAGAGAGTCCATACTCTTTGCTTCATCAATTTCACACTTTTCATTCATTATTTGGTGTCTTTTTGTGTTTCCATTTTAATTGCAACCAATTTAAAAAAATGAGATAACAGCAATAATAAAGAATAGGGGAAGTATCCAACAAATTGTTTAACATCGATAAAACCACCGTGCATTATTGATATCATGTTACTATGATGATTAATCAGTTATGTTTGTACGGATTGCAAATGTTACATCAGAGTTCTGTCCATATCAATAATTCTTATCCACTGGCTGCTTATACTGTTTTCACATATGTAGATTTGCCTAAACTGAAAGTAATTAAGAGCCCGTTTGGTTAGAGAATTTGTTCTTTGATTTGAATCATGGTTCATAGTTCGCTATAATATTTTTTTTTATAAAAAACACACGTAAATTAAAAATTGTTTTAATCTAAGAACCAAATAGGCTCTAATTTTCTCTCTACAACTATTTTTTAATATTCATTGGAAACCAACTTTTTTCAACTCACAACATCCTGTTGTAGGAAATATGACACCAACAGACCATCAATTCTATCAATAATCTCAAATTAAACACTTAGAAAATAGTATATTGAGCTTTACAAACAGAAAGCACTAATAAATGTATTATAAAGATTGGGCACACAAATGATCTTTAATAAATCCTTTACCGTCACAGAAAATATCTGATTAGCCGATGTCGTGAAACTCATAACACTAATGACACACAAAACATAAATAAATAAATCTAGCATAAAAAAATAATAACTAAAAGCTAACAAAAGAAAACAAATGCACAAATTAATTTAGGTAACAGCCATCATTATTACAAATAAGAAAAATCTATGCGTTTGGTTGGTGGATTCGTGCCATGATTCGAATCATGGTTCGTGATTTGTTACAGTATTTTTTTCTCACAAAAAACACGCGTAAATTGAGAATGCTTCTGAATCTATGAATCAAGCGTAACAAGACCCCTAAACACGAGTGGATGAGAATGATAAAAAAGAGTGGTAGGTAAACACACAATGCCCTTAATAACAATGGCCAACACACACACCACTACGTGACTCGCCTCCTGCAAACCAATCCAAAGGACAGGTTGGGATGATAACCGACGCACCTGAAATGTCTAGAGACTAACAACGACCTAACTCCTACCTTAGCTCCGATCACAAAAAAAGGTAGACTATAGGGGTAAGTTTGGTTAGAGGGATGGAACAAGGTAAGGTAAGGATGGATATTGGATAAAGTAAGAGGGACGTAAAAGTGTGAAGGAAGGGGTGGGTAATTCACCTCAAAGTTGTATGGTATGTGATGTAGCGGAAGCGTAATTGACAAAAAAAAAAAAAAAAAAAAAAAAACAAAAATTGTGGATGAGGGGAAAGGAAAATAAAAAAAAAAAAAAAAAAAAAAAAAAAAAACGAAATAATAAAATAAATAGCTAAATCAATTAGCATGTTGATTTACACAAAATATTAGGAAAACTGTTTTAAAATCCATTGATTCACAAAGAATACTGAAAATTAAAAAAATAATAAGTGTAAATACTCATGTTTCATTCATCAAAATTCTCTCTCTTTATATATGATTGAACTAAGATATTTATAGACTAAACTGCGTCAAATGATAACAGAAAACTACAAATGAAATTGTGAAAATTAGAAAAAAAAAAAAAAGAAATTAACTTATATTTGACCTAACAATTACGCTAAAAAGAAACTTTTCTAAATGTAAAATTGCTAGTTTCTAAAAATAGAATTTGACTTTTCTTCTCTAATAATTGTTTTTGAGTCAAAAATATGATTCCCAATTGCTGCATGATTTCTTTCCAAATACGGGCTGCACCAGTATGATAAAAAGGTGTGATGATTAGGGAGAATTTTCTGACTAATTTTACAAACACATGGGGTGTTTTAAATATTTGTATAATAAAAGAGGCAAAAGTGGTTTTTAGACAAAATACATAAGGTGTTTTATATATTTTCCTATTAAAATTTAAGAGACGAAAAGTGAGATGAAATAGTAATTGAACCATGAAACAAGTATCGCTTCCTCCCAATCTTTCTATATGAGAAAGGATTGAAAAATAGTAGGACCTCCCCTATCTTTCATCCCTTTCATGAATCCATCCAATCAAACAATAGGAGTTGCTCTCCCTCCTCCACCCCTTTTCTTCTCCTCCTAAAATTCCTCGTACCGCATCTCAAAATTGGAGTGTGCGTACATTTTACTTTGTGATCATTATATCATAAAAACAAACAATCTGACAATTAAAAAAAATAAATTTGCGGCTTGATAGTTGATACTAGCCTAGAAAAGTAACCGATGAAATCGTTTTTAAGCCTTATATCTAATAGTTGTGATTTAAGCCGAAAGAGACTTGGAAGTATAAACGTAACAGAATAAAAAGTAGATGGTACGTAGTACTATGCATTGTCACTTGTGAGCCTCTACCGAAGTATGATTGAACCATTATGTTCACCATTATTAATTATAAATAACTATATATATACATGCACACACAAAATGTTTGACGTGACTATCAAATAATTTCCATAATCGTAGTATATGACTTGCTATATTCGACTTAGTCACGAGTGTGGAAAGGGAATTAAGAACTTGTTATGTGGGGGAAAAAATGGAATTTTGCGTGTTTTGCTTATACCGGATAATCCAATTTGTCCCCTAGATAAGATAGAATGATAGATGTAAGATTTCTACTAAAACCATAAATTTGTTTTTCTCTTAACAATTTGTAATTATGAAGTACGGGAGGGAGAGAGAGAGAGATAAATACCCGTATTATATCTCAATCATTTATTTCAAATAACATATACATTTCAAGCAGTAATACTTTAGCCACCACAATGCATTTGTTCAAATTATTAAAACTTCAGAAATATTTTTTTTTTAAAGAAAAAAAAAATACTGAAATAGCTCCTTTATGAAGCAAATGTCACAAAGGTCAACATAGATTGGATGGAGATATTAAAGAGAATCACAAATAAGGGCTCCCACAAAAAAGTTCAATCTTAAATAGGCCTATACAACTAGAGTGCTCCATCTCATAATGATTAATGAACCGTTATCAAACATCTAAATGATATGCAATATAAGATTAAAGATATGGGAATATAAAATGTCAAAACAAAAGAGGCTTTTATTGGTGATAAAAGTTAAGGGGAAAATTATCATCTGCTTGATAGATAGCATATTGGATTCAACCTATAGCAATCTTCATGGACATGTTGCTAAGTCCTTAATTAGCATTGC